TCAAAACTGTTGAATCTAAGGAGTGGGTGCCTGGATTTTCTCAAAATTTTTCTTTCAATTTGTGTTTAAAATTTTTCATAATAAAAAGTTATGAAGAAAAACAAGGGAGGGAGATAGGGGGTATGTTCAAAAGGGAGGGGATATATGTATACCTATGGCTGATTCATGTTGAGGTTTGACAGAAAACAACAAAATTCTGTGAAGCAATTATCCTTCATTTAAAAAATAAATAAATTTTTAAAAGTGTTCTGAAGAAAAACAAAATGACCTGATATATATAGACAGAAGGATGGATACTTTTATCTATATGTGCTAAAATCAATATAGTAAGATATAGTTGAATTTAGGTGGTGAGTATATATTTTCACTGTACAACTTTTTCAACCTTTCTGTATATTTGAAAATATTTATAATAGAGATACGAGGGGTATAAGGAAAACTTTAAAAAATCAATTCCTGTCTGTAGAAAATCCAAAAGAACCAACAACTAAAAACAAAAAAGCAACCTCTGAAACTAACAAGCATTTATAGCAAGGTTGCAGGTTAAAAGGTTAACATACAAAAGTCAATTGCTTTCCTGCTTCCCTGGTGGTTCAGGTAAAGAATCTGCCTGCAACACAGGAGACCTGGGTTCAAACCCTCAGTCGGGAAGATCCCCTGGAGAAGTAAACGCAAACCCACTCCAGTGTTCTTGCCTGGAGAATGCCATAGACAGAGGATCCTGGTGGACTTACAGTACATAGGTTCACAAAGAGTCAGACTCTACTGAGTGGCTAACACTTTCACACCAGCAATGAAACTTAAACCTAAAAGTATTATGCCATTTACATTAGCACCCCCCAAATGAAACACTTAGATATAAATCTAACAAGATATGAAAGAAATCAAAGATAAACTAAATAAACAGAGATACTCCATGTTCATGGATAGGAAAACTCAGTACTGTCAAGATGTTAGTTCTTCCTAACTTGATCTATAAGTTCAACACAAGCTGTAAAAAAATTCCAGAAGGTTATTTTGTGGGTATCAACAAACTGATCATAAGTTTTATATGAGAAAGATGAAAAATAGCCAATGACATACTGAAAAGGAATAGTCAATGGACTGATATTACTTGACATCATGACTTACTATAAATCTACAGTAATAAGACACTGTGTTGTGTCTATCAATATATGAGATGATGGATATTCACGAAACTTGTGACAGTCATTTCCTGTTGTATGTAAGACAAATCATGCTTTGCACCTTAAACTTATTCAGTGCTGTATGTTAATTATATTTCAGTAAAACTGGAAGAGAAAAAATACACTGTGATATTGACAGAAGAGTAGACAATCAGATCAGTGGAGTAGAATGGAGAGGCCAGAAATAGTCCCACATAAATCCAATCAGCTGATCTTTGACAAAGGAGCAAAGGCAATAAAATGAGGAACAGGTATTCTTTTCAACAAATGATATTAGAACAATTAGACATCTATATGCCAAAAATTAACCTAGATATAGATCTTTTACCTTTTACAAAAATTAACACAGAATGGATCACAGGAGTAAATGTAAAATGCAAAACTATAAATTCCTAAAAGAAAGAATAGAAAATCTAGGTGGCAATGACTTTTTAGATACATCATGAAAGGCACAGTACATGAAAGAATCATTGATAGGCTGGATTTCATTAAAAGTAAAAACTTCTGTTCTGCCAAAGACACTGTCAAGAGAACGAGAAGACAGGTCATATATGGGAGAAAATATTTGCAAAAGGCATATCAAACAAAGGACTGATATCCAAAATGTACAAAGAGATCTTAAAACTCAGCAATAAGAAAACTAACAACCTGATTTAAATATGGGCAAAAGACCCGAACAGATACCTCACCAAAGACATACAGTTGGCAACCATGTGAAAAGATGTTCCAGATAATACGTCATTAGAGAATCGCAGGTTAAAATGAGATACCACTATACACCTATTGGAATGGCCAAAATCCAGAACACTGACAATACCAAATGTTGATAAGCAGGTGGAGAAACAAAAACTCCCATTTCTTTGCCAGTGAGAAATTAAAATGGTATAGTCACTTTGGAAAACATGTTGGCAGTTTCTTAGAAAATGAAACATATGTTTATAATATTATCCAGCAATTGTGTTCCTTGGTCTTTACCCAAAGGAGTTGAAAACTTATGTCCACACAAAAACCTGCACATGATGTCTATAGCTGCTTTCTTCATAATTGCCAAAACCTGGAAGCAACCAAGATGTCTTTCAGTAGGTGAATGAATAAACAAGCTAGGGTACATCTACACAATGGGATATTTATTCAGTGCTAAAAGGAAATTAGGGCTTCCCTGGTGGCTCGGGAAGTAAAAAATCTGCCTGCAATACAGAAGACCCAGGTTCAATCAGCTGTTAAACCATGAAAAGAAATGGAGGGATCTTAACTGTGTACTACTAAGTGAAAGAAGCCAGTATGAAAAGTATGATCCCAACTGTATGACATTCTGGAAAAGGCAAAACTATGGAGACAGTAAAAAGATCAGTAGCTATCAGTGCTGGGGGGACGGAGGGATGGATATACAGAACGTAGAGGATTTTTAGGGCAGTAAAACTATTCTGTATGATACTGTAATGGTGGCCACATGTCATTGTCCATATGTCATTATTCTATGGGTTACTTGTCAAAATCCATAGAATGTGTAACACCAAGCACAAACTCTAATGTAAACTATGGACCTTGGTGATAAGGATGTAGGCTCGTGGATTACGTACCACTCCGGCTGGGAATGCTGATAGTGTGGGAGGGCAGAGAATTTATAGGAACTCTGTGTACTTTCTGCCCAATGTTTTTGTGACCCTAAAACTGCTCTAGGACTTTCCGTGGTGGTGCAGAGGATAAGAATCTGCCTGCCAATGCAGGGGACTCAGAATCGATTCCCGGTCCGGGAAGATTCCACATACCAAGGAGCAACTAAGCCTGTGCTCCACAACTGCTAAACCAATGTTCTAGAGCCTGTGAGACACAACTACTGAAGCTGATGAGCCCCAGAGCCCACATGTGGCAACGGCGGAAGCCGGAGCAGCCTAGAGCCTGTGCTCCTCAACCAGAGAAGCCACCACAATGAGAAGCCTGTGTACTACAAGGAATAGTAGCCCACGCTCACTGCAGCTAGAGAAAGACCAAAAAAAGCAAAGAAGAGCCAGCGCAGCCAACAACAATAATAAGCAAAGTGAAAAGTGAAGCCGCTCAGTCGTGTCCAACTCTGTGACCCCGTGGACTGTAGCCCCGTGGACTGTAGCCTTCCAGGCTCCTCCGTCCACGGGATTCTCCAAGCAAGAATACTGGAGTGGGTTGTCATGCCCTCTTCCAGGGGATCTTCCCAACCCAGATATCGAACCCAGGTCTCCTGCATTGTGGGCAAACGCTTTACCCTCTGAGCCATCAGGGAAGCCCAATAATAATAAAGAATCCTTTTTAAAAAACTGCTCTAAAAAATGTCAGATAAACAAATGAATAAATCCTCCGCTACCTCACCATCACCATTTACCTCATAGTGAAACCAGAGCAGTAAAGAAGGGCTGCAAGGACCAGTGGGTTTGGTCTCCGCCTGCTCACTCTGCTCCAGCCACACAGGGAGCCTCCTCATCAGACCGAGTGCCAGACCTGCTGCACTTCAGTGCGTCTGCACTCACTGTTCTTTCTGCCGGGAACACTCCTACCCGAGAGCACCCTGCTTCCCTCCCACCTTCCTTCAGGTCTTTATTCAAATGTCACCTGCTTAGTCGTGAGACTTCCCCATCACCTCATGTAAAAATGCAGCTTTCCCCAAGCCGTCCCATCCTTCTTGTTTTATTTTTCGCCAGAGGGCTTCTCACCAACTAACACACTGTGTATTTTACTTAGCTACTTTCTTGTCTGCCTCCCTCACGCTAGAACATAAGCTCTGTGAGGGCAGAGGCTTCGGTTGTTTTGTTCCCTGCTGTTCACTGCCTTATCATGGAGCCTAGGATGTGGCAGGTTCTGGACAATGTTTGTCAACTGAATACATGAATACCTTCATGAGCATTCTCTCATGCTTCCAGACATTTACCACACTGTTTTCTCTGCCTGGAATGACATTCCCCCAGGTTCAGAAGAGAAAATCCACTCAACCTCCAAAATTCAGCTCAAGAAACCTTTCTTTTGCAAAGGGCTCCCTGACTTTAGGCAGACAGAAGTAGGTAGGAACCTCCTCCCTGCATTGCCACAGTGTCCCGTTATCACCAAAGGCTGGTGAGGCCTTAGACAGTGTTTTGCAAGCTGTGGGGCTCCATGGAGACTCCTTATTTATCTTGTATTTATCTTGTATACCCAGCACCTTTGAACCTGGCAGATAACAGCAGGCCCTCAGAAACATTTGTGGAATGAAATGATAAATGAGTGAATGATGTAGAAAAGCAATCCATATGTAGCTTAGTGTGAATTATGTAGACATTTGTAGCATACATAATTTAAAGAATGCCCTTAAAGGCTTCCTTGATAGTTCAGTTGGTAAAGAATCCACCTGCAGTGCAGGAGACCCCAGTTCAATTCCTGGGTCAGGAAGATCTCCTGGAGAAGGGCTAAGCTACCCACTCTGGTATTCTTGGGCTTCCCTTGTGGCTCAGTTGGTAAAGAATCCACCTGCAATGCAGGAGACCTGGGTTCAATCCCTGGGTTGGGAAGATCCCCTGGGGAAGGGAAAGGCTACCCACTCCAGTATTCTGGCTTGGAGAATTTCATGGACTGTATAGTCCATGGGGTCCCATCAGACACGACTGAGCAACTTTCACTTCACTTCACTTCAAAGGCATTCCTACTGAAGGTTGTTTGACATTAATACTTTTTATTATAGCTTACTCACAACCTGTAAGTTAATGACTTACACTGTCCAAAGTCTGAAATATCACCCAGCCATCAATGTAAAAGGTTGAGTTTGCATTCATATTTCTACTACATTATTCCAAAGTGTTTTTTTTACTCTACCTTTTGTTTGGGTTTCCATATCCAAACTGGTTTAGCCTTGAGAGTATTACCATGGGAGCTAAAGACTGAGCAGGTTTGGTAAATAAAGCATTGATGCCAAAGACCATGGAGGAAAGGGGTGACCTGGAATAGAAAAAAGTAGCATAAGTCTACATCACAAACCAATTACTTGTATGTATATCTGTATGTGTATACACACTATGTATATGTGTACAAGTGTCAAGGCCCTTTCTGACTAATAAGTCCTCCTTGAGCCTAAATAGACAAGAATTGAAACAATCTACAAAATGCTGACCATCATCTGATAATGCACAATTGTCATAAACCTCCATTGAACAAGTCTGTTTTTCCAACAGAATTTTCTCACTTTCTGCCTCTGAGTCACATTTTGATCATTCTTGCCATATATCAAAGGTTATCATTACTATTCTATTTGTTACAGTGATCTGTAATCAATGATCTCTGATGTTACTATTGTAGTTGTTTGGACATTTCACTTTCACTAGCAAGAAGGAATTTTTAAATTAGGGTATGTACATTTTTAGACGCAATGCTATTGCATACTTTAAAAACTACAGTATGGTATAAACATAACTTTTATATGCATTGGAAAAACAAGAAATTTGTCACTTGCCTTAGTGCCATATTTGCTTTATTGCACTGGTCTGCAACTGAACCCACAATACCTCCAGCAACAACATGTATTATTTCACATAAGCCCCACAACAATCCTGTGAGGAAGGTATTATCACTCCTGTTGTAGGGCTGGGAAGACAGACTAGCTTCTCCACAGACACACAGATAGCAACTAATAGAACTGGGATTCACACCTAAGTCTTCCTCCTCAAATTTTATAAAGGATTACTTTAATACATTCTTGGTGAGAATCCTGCCATATCACTTTTTGATAATTAAGTTATAGCATATAAAATAAATCAAGGCATTGCCTGAATAAACTGAAATTTTGTCAATGTTTCAACCAATGATGGAAAACTTGCAACTGAGGAAGAAGAAGAGGAAAAAAAGGGGGAGGTGAACAAAGGGAAGAAAAAAAAAAAGAAAAAAAAAAAAAGAAGCCAAAAAAATGGAAAAAAAAGGAACCGAACAAAAAAACCTGAAGTTAAACCCCAAGTCCTCAAACCGGGCCTAAAATAACCCGGGAAAAGTAAACCCCCAAAAAGTTTAAGTTTCCAAAAAGGAAGAAAAATAAGAATTCAAGAAAAAAAAAAAAAAAAAACGCCAACAAGAACCCCCAATAAAACAACAAAAGCAAAAAGACAAGGGTTATATCTGCTTTGGCTCTCTGATTAAGTTCTTATCTGACATGATCAGGACAACAGTTGACTGAAGCAAAAAAAAATCATTTTCAGAAGACGAGAAATTGACCATTCTATTTCAACTTAGCTATATTCATTTACTCATCTCTTTTTTTGAGTACGGGTCCACTGATCAAAGTGCTGTGCCATCTTTCTGGCATGTACACTATCCAAACAACAGGATCTATGGTGTCTACCATCAGTTATAGAGAGAACCTAAAGTTGTTTACAAGGCATTCTGAATACAGAATATTTAGATTTTTCTATTTTCCTAAACATTTAAAGTTCTCAAGACATCAGATTTGGTAGTAATTTTGTTATACTTTATGAAGTCTTTCTAAAGCATTCAACTTAGTTTTCATAGAAATGTTTAATTTCATACATATATTTCCTAAGTTTATAAAATATGTGTAACTACATGTAATTATGGGGCTTCCCAGGTGGAGCTAGTGGTAAAGAACCTGACTGCCAACGCAGGAGACATGAGACCTGGGTTCGATCCCTGGGTTGGGAAGGTCCCCCAGAGGAGGAAATGGCAACCCACTCCAGTACTCTTGCCTGGAAAACTCCATGGACAGAGGAGCCTAGCAGGCTCCAGTCCATAGGGTCGCAAAGATCTGGACACGACTGAAGCAACTTAGCATGGCACAAATGGAATTATAATAACAATTGCATCTGACATTAACCAATTTGAAACAAAAAGTACTGACTCTTGATAAGGATACAACTTATGGGAGCAGAAAAGCATATGTCTCTTCAAGAATAGCCATTCAGTCAGAAGAATCCAGCATGTGCATAGGAGAGTATGTTTTTAGAAGGGATTTGCTACTACAAAACCTGCTATATTGTATCCCTAGCATTGACCACAGGGCCTGACATACAGGAGGCAATCAATAAATATTTTTTGAGTCAGTAATATCCATCACACACAGCTGGTATGAGACTTGAATGAGTAAAAGCCATACAGTGCTTGTACACACTGGCATTTGGTAAATATCGCTGCCCTTCCCTTTCCAACTGTTTCAGGCATTTTATTCATGAGTACCCAGTTTCATTCAAAAAGAATTTGAGTGTTAAAAGATGTTTACTGACATTTCTTCTTGTTAATTTATTTTTTTAAAACTGATTTAAGTCTGTCATTTTTCTAGGCATCAGGGACATAGTTCTGAAACATAAGGAGCTCACCTTCTTGCTCATCACTCCAAATATGACTTAGCAACAAACTCTGAAACATGGAAGAAATTATTTAAAGGAGAAATCACCAAGTTGGCAAAGCTTCCTTCAATTTAAGTTACATTACTTTGTCAACAAAGGTCCATCTAGTCAAGCCTATGGTTTTCCCAGTAGTCATGTATGAATGTGAGAGCTGGACTCTAAAGAAAGCTGAACGCCAAAGAATTGATGCTTTTGAACTATGGTGTTGGAGACGACTCTTGAGAGTCCCTTGGACTGCAAGGAGATCCAACCAGTCCATTCTAAAGATCAGTCCTGGGTGTTCATTGGAAGGACTGATGCTGAAGTTGAAACTCCAATACTTTGGCCACCTCATGCGAAGAACTGACTCATTTGAAATGACCCTGATGTTGGGAAAGATTGAGGGCAGGAGGAGAAGGGGACGACAGAGGTTGAGACAGTTAGATGGCATCAATGACTCAGTGGACATAAGTTTGGGTAAACTCTGAGAGTTGGTGATGGACAGGGAGACCTGGCATGCTGCAGTTTGTGGGGTCGCAAAGAGTCGGACACAACTGAACGACTGAAGAAAAAAAAAGGCCATGCAGTTTCTACAAAGCTAATAAAGACTGTGCTGGTCTTAAAATAACACATTCTTCTCTAATCCATAAAATAGGGTACATATCAGAAAATATGTGCCAGTCAAGTGAATTTTATGGCTGATCTAAAGCATTTATAATAACCATACTGAAGAAGAAAACCTCTCATCATCAGCTTACACTTTTTCAAGTAAAAAAAGGATAAGATGGACCTTGATTTTCAATTTCAATTCTTGTGATGCTACAGAGTAAAGGTCACTTTGCCTGATCATCCAGTGCAGTACAGTAAGTCCCCTACATACGAATGAACTATGTTCCAAGAACGCATTCATAAGTCCAACAAAGTTAGCCTAGGTACCCAACTAACACAGTTGGTTATATAATACTGTACTATAATAGTTTATAATACCTTTCACACAAATAATACATAAAAAACAAACAGAAAACAAAAAGAAAGCATTTTTAATCTTACAGTTCAACAGTTGGCATTGAGTGAACAGGCAAGAAGAGTTACTAACTGGAGGAGGGAGAAGAAATGAGACCAGATAGAGCTAAAGGATTGTCAGCAATGGGAGGGCAAGCTGGGATTTCACTTAGCCTGAAGTTGATGGAATACATGCACATCTTTAAAAGTTCGCAACTTGAAGGTTTGTACATAGGGGACTTACTATATTATAAAATAAAGCTATTTGAGATTTCACTTTGGTTTCTGAGATTTAACCTTGTTGTAGCACCAGCCGTATGAAGTTTTGGGATGAAAAATTACCATGTCCTTTCGAAAGCAGGGAAAAGTTGCCCAGGGTGAACAATTATGAATATCTTATTATGTTCTGCTCTCTGACTTCCAATGCTGCTTCTTATGACCATCTCTCAGTTACATGATTTATAGTGGCAATATAACTGAGATACGGAGATACTAATATGTTCTCCCTCCATGTGATATCTTTATAGCTAATATTTGAAAAATATTAAAAAAAAAAAAGAAAAATATACTTACTGCCGATTGAACTTCAGGAAGTCTGCATCGACCATGTCAGCCAGTGGCAGGTTAAATAAGCAAAAAGAAGCTTGCACAATCACCCTAGAAACAATTTTAAAGTACACACATGAAAATTCTATAACTAGGAGATATAAATTTGTTTAAAAATCAAATGTCAAAGTTGACATTTGGTTTGCAGAAAAGGAAAAATGAAATGATATGTTATAAAAATAAAAATACATTAGGCACACACTTCTATCCTCCCAGAATGTATCTATGAATATATAATTCTCTTTTAAAAATAAAATAAATACATTTTGACAATTTTACTATGCTTTTTACTCATTCTTAGTTGACTACCTGTTCGTTAAATCTGCTTAAATCTTTGATAACAGAAGTCAAGTACAGGAGATATTTTAAACCTTTTCTCAGTTTAACTTTAAAATCTACTGCTTATGTTAGCTAATTGTTTATCATAAGCTAAGGAAAGGTATATTATCTTCTTTTATTTCTTTTGTACAATCTTTGTCCCATGCAAAAAAACAATGAGCTAACTAAAATATTGCATATGTAGTATTTAATAAAATAAATTCCAGGGCTTCTCTGGTGGCTCAGTGGTAAAGAATCCTCCTGCCAATGCAGGAGACTCGGGTTCAATCCCTGGTCTGGGAAGATCCCATATGCCACACAGAGCAGCCAAGACTGTGCACCACAGCTATTGAACCTGTGCTCTATAGCCCGGGAGCCACAATGACTGAGACCTCCGAACTGCAGCTACTGAAGCCTGAGAGCCCTAGAGCCTGTGCCCTGCAACATGAAGCCCACGTATGGCAGGTAAGAGTAGCCCCTGCTTGCCGGAACTAGGGAAAAGCCTGCGAAGCAACAAAGATTCAGCACAGCCCAAAAATAATTAAATACATATATATATTTAAATTCCAATATATTTTAACTGGAGAAGCACTTAGAAAGTCTTCTAGTTCAACATCACACCCAATACAGAAATCTTTTGGTATCAAGAGGAAAATTGAGAACTATTAAGGGCCATAAAACATTTTAATTATGATAGAAGAAAGAAAATGGGGGGATGGTTTAAGTAAAAAAAAGAAAAAGCAAACAAAAATTTTCATTCTAAAAATCACTATTAAAACATCTTTTAAATATGACATAACCAGAACTACCATGGTAGAATTACAGAATAGTTATCTATATGGGGTTCTAAATCTTCAGGTTTTACAGAGATCAATACTTTGAGTTAATTACTATATTTGCCACTTCTGATTTACTCAAAATGCAGTTAAATCTTCTCAAGTTGTTCCATCAGGGACCTGGAGTTAGATTTATTAGTTCATTCACCCAAAACACATTTTCTAAGGACCAACTATTTGTAGGAACTGTAGTAGATGATGGGGCCACAGTAATAAGAAACTAGATCTTATTCATAATAAAGCTCAGTCCAGTGGGGGCCAAAGATAGTCACAGACAGGAGGATCAACGCTACAGAGATAAGCATGGGACATTGGGGTCATGTAGCAGGGATACCTAATCCAGGTGAGGAAACTGAGGAAGGCTTTCCAGAAAGCACATCCCTGAGCTGCAGCCTAAAGAAACACTAGGAGAGAGCCAGGTAAGAACGGTGAAAGCTTTTCAGGCATAGAACGGTGCAAGTTAGACACGGAGGTGTTTGAACCTGACACTGCAAACTGTTTCTCTAGGGCAAGAGTTCGTAGTAAGTGGAGGAGTAACAAGAAATGAAGATGTCGAGGTAAACAGGGCCTGTATAACAAAGGTCCTCATATGTTATCATTTTGCATTATATCCTGAAAGCACGGAGAAGCCACTTAAGCAAAGGAATGACACGCTATTCTAGAAGCACCTGGGGACTAGGGGCAAGGGGACCATGTAGGAGGTTATATGGAAATCCAGGTAGGAGATGACGAGGACCTGAGCTAAAGGAATTACAATGGTAACAGAGAAGGGATGGATTCAGGACATATTAGGGAGCTAAAACTGCTAATAACTGGTAGCTTATTAGATGCAGGAGACAAGAAAGGGATGGCAAAGACAACTTCTCAGTCTCCGACCCGGGCAACTAGATAGATGGTAGAGCCATTTCCCAAGATGGCAAAGAACATCTTTGGGGGATAAGATCTTTATTTGGCAGCAGGATTTACTAAATGATGCACTTAATAGGTTAGAAAGAAGAACTTAACTTTACTACAAAACTGAGCATTAGAAATCTCTGCAAAATTGAAACATGCAAATTATCATATGTGAAACAAATCGCCAGTCCAGGTTAGACGCATGAGACAGGGTGCTCAGGGCTGGTGCACTGGGATGACCCAGAGGGATGGGATGGGGAGGGAGGTGAGAGGGGGATTCAGGATGGGGAACACATGTACACCCATGGCAGATTCATGTCAATGTATGGCAAAACCAATACAATATTGTAAAGTAAAAAAATAAATAAATAAAACTGAAAAAATAAATAAATAAAAAGAAAGAAATCCCTGCAAAAATGAAGACAGAAAGATGGGCTTCCCTGGTAGCCCAGTGGCTAAGTCTTCACCTTCAAGTGCAGGAGGTATGGGTTCAATCCCTGATCAGGGAGCTAAGATTCCCATATACTTCCTGGCCAAAAAACCCAAAACATAAAACAGAAGCAATATTGTAACAAATTCAACAAAGACTATTTTTGGTTAAAAAAGGAAAAAAAAAAAAACCCAAAATAAAAAAAAAAAGTTCCCCCCCAAATAAGAAGACAGAAAAGTATAAAGACTGCCTAGAAATGAATACTAAACACATTTCAGATCAAAGATGTTTCACTGCTTAAAAGGAAATGGCACGATCTACTGTAATTTGGGGATTGACACTGGCATTTACTTACATGATAACAGTGAGATACAGAGCCAAAAAGTAATAGTACTGCTGTCCAAGAAGCAACATGACAATGGAGGCTGTTCCTTCTAGGTAGAATGAAAATAAGATCATCTTATAGTAACCAAACTTCCTCAGCCAGGACTGGCTGATAAGTACAAGGCACTGAAATGGAAACAGATTGACATAACATTAAGACGGAATCCCGTGAAATAGGTTTACTCTTCCTGATAGCAAAACAAACATTCTCAGCAAAAAATAAATTTGCTTCTGAATCAAAGTATCAGTTGAAAAACACAACTAATACTACCTATCATGGTTAGAAGTGTTATTATCTGTTTATACCCATAAAAGTTGACTAATATACTACAGAAAAACAAAGAAACAGCTATTATTTCCTATAAAATGGACAAAGTGGGAAATAGTTTCATACATTTTTATTTTCACACTAACATAAGGAGGTTTTACTAAAACCAACTATGAAAGAACCATCACTTTGAAACAACCAGCATTGCTTCATTGTAATGCGAAAAGGCCAACTCAAATCTAAAATAAACTCAGAGTTTAAAATTTGGGATTAAAGCCCAGAATTCACCTCGCACACAGTAGTGAATAGTAAAATAAACATTTTACTATTCTTCTTAGTAAGAATTTCAGATATATCTGAAATGTACTTTTTTATCCTAAAATCAAGCACCAGAAATGAACAATAGTCTATGATTGTATCAACATTTCTTCTGTTTGTGTTTCCTGTCTAATCTTATGTATTTTCATCTTTCTAATAGATTCATGTTGAGAGTTCAATCACATTTTTTCCTGCATTTCTTGCTAGCAATGAAAAAGTTCATTGTTCTAGACCTAAAAGTTAGTGCTAAATATACATACATACATTAACAAAGATTAGAAGATACTTTTTGGTTTCAATAAAAAAGTACACTGTTTAGCCCTGAATCACTTTCACTAACTAAATGTGCATACAATTAGAAGAGAATTTTTAATGATGTAAGTATAATAACAATATTCTTTAACAAACATAAGGGTTTCCCCCTCTGACTGATTTTTTGGTTTACTTCTCTACTTTCAAGGAACAAAAGCACTTTTTTCTGGATAGTAAAATGGTGATTGAGAGGACCCATGCCATTTCTCAGAGTTCTATAAGATAAAGTATGTAAAACAGACCAATTCCCCTTATATTCCTATATATAACAATAATACTGTAAATTTACATAGTTCCACATTTTGAAATGAAGCTTCTTGTTCTCAATCTCCAACACATAAAATACCACACAAGATATGAGAGTAATACTCTAAGAAACATGCGACAAAGTGCAAGATTTTGAAACCAGATTACCGAGTGTCAACCACAAATTGGCACTTGCCGTGGGTGCTCGCCATCTACCTCTAAAAGGATTAAATCAGGTTCTCTGGAAGCTGCTGACCTCCAACACCCCCCTGCAAGGTTTAGAGTGGAGAGCAGAAACGAGGCCCTCTGTGCTCCCAGGAAACTGGCGGGACAAGTCTTCAGAAGTTAGACATTCTCAGGAGCTGATTTTATGAGTCAAATGTATCTTCTCATACCTAGAAAAGCACTAAAAATCCTTCATGGTGACAACTGTTTTTTGTGACTAGCAGAGACCAGCAGAAACTTTCTAAAAAATAAGCATGCTTGATTGCATGTACTCCCCCTTTACCAAAATCACATATATACCGTCCTCTACCTCCTTGGAACAGTTTCTCAGAGAGCTACCTGAGGTATTGCCTCCTGGGCAGCAGTCCTCACATTGCCCCCAATAAAACTTAACTTGCACCTCTCATGCTGTGCATTTTTCTTAAAGTCCACACTGGCTCTGCCACTTTTACCAGCTTACTTTACCTAAGAAGCATTTCCTCCCTCTAGCACTCCCCCTCTGTCTCTGTCTCTCTCATCATACAAAGTACTTAATAATTGGTAGCTGTTATAATTCTGTCCAGTGTAAAAACACATGAGCCAACGAGGAGTAATAAACAACACAAAAAGAGACTACTTTTGCTTGTACTAAAATACAGCTTTCCACAGACTGAGGATTTTGGCTCTCCATTCATATGTTTATTAAGTAGAAGCTCGTGAATAATGTGTCCCAGCACAAGTGTTGGCAAACAGATGCCAAAGAAGCTTAAAATCGAAACAAAGACAAAGGCAGTGCTGTGTTTACAGTGAACATTTAATAAATATTCGCTGTACTGAGATTTAATCATAAAAGTTAACATTTCTAGAGTGTTTATTTTGTGCCAGGAACTATTTCAAGAACTTTGTATGCCTTACAAAGTTAATTCATTTAATTCTCATTATAATCTTTAGGCACCATTTTTATTCCCATTTTACAGAGAAGGAAACTGAGACACAGAGAGCTTCAATAACTCAGCCAGGGTCACACAGCTAATAAGAGGGGTGGCAGACTTCTCCCTGGGCAGTCTCCATGCTCCTAAACCATTTACTATTCTGCCTCCTGAAGGTGAGTGGGATGTGGAAGAGTCACAAGCCTATTAAAACAGTTATTACAGAGAAAGAACACTTCCTCATTCTTCTTTCATTTATTCAACTCCTTAAAAGCAAGCTATGGGGAAGACACTCTGAGAAAATGAAAATACAGCACCTAGCCTTCATTACCAGAACCAACAGGCAGTGTGTTAAAATGACCTAGCCAAAAAACAACAGCAAATTCCCAAGAGCTGTCTTTTTTACCCACAATAATTTATAGGTGTCACTTTTCTAGAAATCAAGAATAAAATTTAAGGCAATTTTGGATTTCCATTTTATAATGATTTTTTTTATTGAGATCAACAGAAATACATATGTTAGTATGAAGGTTTGAGAAAAGAATCATCGAAATCTTTTGGCTATACTTCTCTTAAAATTTAGTAGCTAAGAAAGACTGGAAGAAAATATTGCTGAACATACATCTAAAAAAGCACTTTTACTGAGGCTACATAAAATATATCGAATATATAAAGTACTCTTACAATTCAACATTATACAATTCAATTTTTAAAAATTTGAACAAATAATTTATCAAAAAGACATATGTGTGAGAAGTAAGCACATTAAAAGATACTCAACATCATTAGCAGTCATCAGGAAAATGCAAATCAAAACCATAGTAAGATACTGCTGCTTCACACCTACTAATATGGCCAGAACTAAATAGCCTGATATAGTACTGATGAGAAGGTGGAACAACCGGAAAACTTTATATTATTGGGAGGAATGTAAAATGGTACAACCACTTTGGAAGACAGGTTGTCAGTGTCTTCAGTAAACAAACACCTACCATGCAGACCAACCATTCTACTTCAAGGGGTTTATCCAAGAGAAAGAAAAGAATGTGTCCATACAAAGACATGAATGTTCATAGCAGCTTTGTTTATAATAGCCAAAAACTGGAAACCCAAATGCCCATCAAAAAGTGAATAGGTAAACAAACTGTTGTATATCCATACAATGGAATATTATTCAGCAATAAAAAGGAGTGAAGTATTGATAACCACAACAAGGCGACAGAAGAATCCAGGCCAAAAAACAGTACATATTATATTATTCCATGTATATAAAAATCTAGAAAATAGATAGAATTAAAGGGACAGATTACCAAGAGGCACAAAGACAATTTGGAGAGAAATGGGTATGTCTACTACTTTGATTGTGGGGATAGCTTCACGGTGCAGACATAGGTCAAAATGTACCAAGTCATACAGTTTAAATACATGTAGTTTACTGAGAGTCAATCATACCTCAGAGAAACCATAACCAAAAAACCACCTTATTTCAACTCATACATATTTATTTTTTAAAAAATGTAATGTACTAAAATTGACTGTAGTGGGCGTTCCATGGTGCCCTAGTGGTTAGGATTTCAGGCTTTCACTGCTGCAATCTGGGCCTAGTCTCTGGTTAGGGAATTGAAATCCTGCAAGATGCACAGCACAACCAAAAAGTTTACAATGTTTTTAAAAAGTAAAACTGACTGTGGTAATGGCTGTACGTGTCTGTGAATATACTAAAACCCGCTGAATTGTATACTTTAAATGGGTGAATTAATAAGTATGGTATGTGAGTTACATCTCAATGAAGCTGCTTAAAAATACCCATGTGTGTGTGTGCTCAGTCGCCCAGTCCTGATTTTTGTGACCCTATGGACTGTAAGCTCGCCAGGCTCTTCTATCCATGGGGATTCTCCAGGCAAGAATAGTGGAGCGGGGTGCCATTTCCTTACCCAGGAGATCTTCCCAGGGATCTAACCCATGTCTCTTGTGTCTCCTGAATTGGCAGGCAGATTCTTTACCACTGCGCCACCTGGAAAGCCTCCAAATAGCTATCTACTATTTAAAAAAAAAAAAAAATTAGGTAAGAGTTTAACAAACTTGTTTTTGCCTGGAGAAGAGGAGATACTATAGGCAAGTACATGATTAAAAGTGAGAATGTATATATAGCCTAGAATCTGACAATAACTAATAGAAACAAGAATTCAAGCAGCTCCCCATTCTGGGTCATTGAACACAGCAACAACAGCTTGAAAACTCTCAAACTGCCATTAAGAAAGAGTATAATTTTATTATGTACACATAGTACCCGAGACTATATCGCTAAGCCAGAAACTGATACTTTATTTGGTAATCTCTGCTAAACAGACCATGACAAAATCTTAAAATGTACAACTTTAAGGGCCTCTGAGCCTCCCTTTTCTCATTTGGAAGGTCTTTCTCTCAAAGGCATTTGTCAGGATTGCACAAGATAATGGTAGTTAGGATTACACGAGATAATGTATACGATGTAGTTGGCATAGCCCCTGGCACACAGTAAGCACTCAAAAAAATGTGAGTTCTCAATATTATGGTATATACAGTAACCAAACTATGATAAAGGCCTTGAGCTAATGGCAGAAAGGCAAATTCTATCCCATATACTTTGCCTAAGAAAGTGTGGCAACACTTAGAACATTCCAGAACTATTTCTATTCCACAGGGCTTAAATCTTTGTAAAAGTTAGTAAATAGTAAAAACTCGTCTATCTAAGTTATTCAACTTACTCTCTGAAGAGTACAGATTACAGATTTTAATCGTGAAAACAGGAAAAATCTATATCATAGGCTAGGTCAAGTCATATTTTTGGAGGATAGATTTAGGTTAAGGGAAGCAATTTTATTCATGAGTTCTCCAAATCGTGTAAAAAAACAGGCTAGTATATTTTTTGAAGAAAGGCACACCCTCTACAATAATGGTCATGGTCATGGAATTTTACTAACACTCTGGAATTCTAGGACTTCGTTTTTTAGCCAAGTGCTTTTGAAACCTGGCTTCAGGAATCCATGATCAAATAACTCTTCTTCCTTCTAACAGTCACAGGAATCTTAAATATCAGGATAAAGCAAAATGACATGTTCACAGGAAGCCATGCATTTTCTTCCGTAGCTCTGCAGAGGTTTAAATGAGGAAGCTCAAGAGAACAAAATTCAAAAGCTAAAATATTAAAAATATCACAGTGCTCAGCTTTTATTGGGTTTTCCTTCCTTTCTTCTTTGCATCTCTTGTTTCCATCATATTCCTACTGAATCTTGTCTAATGCAGGGAATCTGAAGCTTTGGGCCTCTTAATAAATCCGAATCATTTTTTCATTACTGATACAATCAGGTTTTTAACTCTCAGCCAGGTAAGTTCTTGTTTATTTGCTAGGTCATGTCCGACTCTTTTGCGATCCCATGGACTGTAGCCCGCCAGGCTCCTTGGTCCATGGGATTTCCTGGGCAAGAGTACTGGAGCGGGTGACCTGAAAATTGCCATTTCCTCCTCCAGGGGATCTTCCTGACCCAAGGATTGAATCTGCATCTCCTGAAATGGCAGGCGGATTCTTTACCACTGAACCACCAGGGAAGGCCCTAGCCTAGGTAAGAGTTATATCTTTAATCCCTTTAGGAAGATACATGAAGAATCACCACATACCTGTGGGCAGATAAAGCCTGCCCCATACATGATGCTCCTTATGGAAGAAGGAAGAACATCCGTGGGAATGAGGTTATCAACAAATATCATCATGAAGTTACTGAAGAAGGTTAAATGGAAGACTTGGAAGAAATTCACTATCAGAAAAAGGCGAAAGTTTTTCTGGGTCAAGATTTGTCTCATCAATGAGATGACAGAAGTCCAGGGGAGATCCTGTACAGTTTCTGAGAAAAGGTTTTCCTCGGGGCTTCTTTTAGGTTCTAAGCGACTCAGGTGGCACATGCCAGTATAAAGGCTGGCAGTGGCCAAAATGGCAACAACAACAGCGATGACCTGAAAATTGAGCAAAATTTCCATGTTATCAGAGATGAGGCCACAGAAGAGGATACTGGTAGATCCTACCAGTGACGCCACTTGGTTGATTTTAATAAGCTGAAGCCGACTTTCGTATCTAGTGAAAATTTCTGCAAACAGTATACACTGGGCTTGCTGAACAAAGGTAAGCGTGCTGTCAAAAGCGCATAATGATACCACCAGGTGAAGCCCACTAAGCCAGTCACCTTCATGATAGTATTTCCAGGGGAACCAAGGAAGCAGGAAGGCTGCTGCATATAAAGGGGCACCATACAAAACAGAACTGTGACGACTGGAACAGCAGTCTGCCTTAGAGTTGTTGTGAAAATACCCCGTCAGGTCGTTAAGAGCATTCCAAATCATTAAAATCATCTAGGGAAAAAAAAAACAACCACAGGATTATTTTAGTGTAGTTTACCCCGATGAAAATAACTTAAATTTTTAACTAATATGAAGTAACCCAAGTTGATCAGTTGGAAAAAAAAAAAAGTCACTGCTTCCAGAATCAGCAGGAAGTATACATACTGAAATAATAATGACAGCTAAGTGAAGTCGCTCAGTCGTGTCCAACTCTTTGTGACCCCATGGACTGTAGCCTACCAGGATCCTCAGTCCACGGGATTTTCCAGGGAAGAATATTGGAGTGGGTTGCCATTTCCTTCTCCATTGGATCTTCCCAAGCCAGGGATCGAACCTGGGTCCCCTGCATTGTAGGCAGACGCTTTACCATCTGAGCTACCAGGCAAGTCCAAGGACAGCTAAACCAGAGTGCATTCACTTTGTGTTTAGGCACGGAACACATTTTTACACGAATTATTTCATTAAATCCTTAAAACAACCCTATGAAGCAGGGACTATTCTTATCCTTTCTCTATAAGGAAACTGAGGGTCAGAGAAGTTAAGCAACTTTCTCGGCTAATAAATGACTGAGCCAGGGCAGAGGACCCTGGAGTCCATGCATTCAATCATCATGCTACAGTGTCTCCCCACAAGGCACACGGCCATGCCTTCGCAAAGAATGATGGCCTGTTTACAGACCACGGCACGGTTTCACATAATCTCATTGGGAAAGGTTAAAATATTAGTGTTTGCTATCTCAAAATGGAAAAAAACTTATTAGATCAAGGATGTTGTTAGTAATAAACAAGTAACATTATAAACCATATGGGTTTTTAAGACCATGAACTCTATCCATCCTGACCACCTAATTGGTAATAAGTTACAATACAATGTGTGAATATATGGGCCATTTCAAAACACAGAATATCTTAATAACAATTCTAATTTTTTCACATAAGGAATTTTTCTAGGTAACCAAAAATGTACCCGTTAAACTCTAAGCTGTCATTGTTTACTATAATTGGGATATAGTTGCTTTGCAATGTTGATAGTTTCTGCAAGGAAATGAATCAGCTATATGTATACATATATCCCCTCCCTCTTATCCACCTCCATCCCACCCATCTACGTCCCTAGAGAGCGCTGAGCTGAGCTCCCTGTGCTATTCGGCAGGTTCCCATCGGTTATGTTTTACACATGGCACTGCACATATGTCAGTCTAAATCTTGCCATTCATCCCAACGCCCCATCCCCCCCATTGTGTCTACACGTCTGTTCTCCACATCTGCATCTCTATTCTTCCCCTGCAAATAGGTTCATCTGTATCATTTCTCTAGATTTAACACATACACATTAAAGCTGTTATAAGTGACCATCTTTGAAAAGTCTCTTTGCCCTTAAACAGAGGATCTTGGATGTGGATAACCTTTTCTTGGTAACTCTTTCAACTTGTGAAGCATCAGCTTTTTGGAAAATCACAAGGCACAACTAGAAGGAGAAGCTTTCCTAAAGTAAAAGGGTGACAAGGGCTCCATCTCACCTGGGCTTGGTAAAAGGCCACTTCTGAAACCTTGTACAGATGTAAAAAAAGCTTTACATAGTAGAAACTGAAGACAGAATTCAGCATTTCAGTCCCTAAGGTTATTAGAGAGAATGCCCAAGCAATGGGTTTGATATTTAAAAATGTCATTTTCCATGCAGAGGAATTCTTCTTCCTTTAGTTTAAGAAAAAAAGAAATGATTAACATTCACTACTTGTGTACAAGAGCTGATTTAGCTGATGGGTGACAAAATTCCACCAGATACTAGTTAACTTTAGTTACATCAAAGTCCAAAAGCACTAGCTGTGAATATGCAACCAGATTTAACACTTTACTTTCTTAATACACTTATTCGACAATTTTTGAGACGTTTCCAGGAACGCTCTTTTGCATAGAGTGTGGCTCTACTTGAATATATATTTTAATATCTCTTCTAATTTATAAAAGTGAAATATATCAAAGAGTTTAGAAATGTTTAACTAGTGACCAGGGAGATATGTTTATGGCATTATTATCCTCCCTACTTGGGAGGGCGCAACAGAAAAAAACAATGAGGTGACATCCTTAAGTAGTGTCTGAGAGAAAGAATAGAAGCAAAGCTTTCATCTTAGTATAAAGTTGCCCATTCAGTAGTACAGATTGCGTTGGGAGATTCATTTTTGATCTTCTGTTGTTGATCTTTTGATTCTCTTTTGATCTTATAGCCTATGTAACTTTGGCCCAAAAGACACAGCGAACAGGGGTATAGAAAGAACCCGTTTGGTCCTTGCTCTCATGTAAACCTTCCTCTTAAATCCAGCCCATTGTTTTACCCGTCCATGGATTTGATTTATCCAACTGGAAAGCAGGAAAAAATTAACCAAGCACGAGGTAGGTATAGACTCGTCTTGCTTTTTAATCTTGACTATAGTTTTAAAATAACACCAGAATTTTGTTTTATAATGGTGTGTGCGTACTAAGTAACTTCAGTCATGTCCAACTCTGTGCGACCCTATGGACTGCAACCTGCCAGGCTCCTCTGTCTGTGGGATTCTCCAGGCAAGAATACTGGAGTGGGATCTCTTCTCTGGGGGATCTTCCCAACCTAGGGATCAAACCCATGTCTCTGACGTCTACCTGCATTTTCAGGTGGGTTCTTTAAAAGGAAGGTCTCCAAAATCTTACTCAGGCAGAAAATACAAATATTCAGATAATTCAAGAGATGCTACTTGCTTAAATAATCCTTGGGAATTAAGCAGGCACCTCAGTCTATACTACTCAATTTCTTGGGAATGCGGAGAGCAAGTTATAAGGGGGAAGTGGACATTTGGCTCAAATGATCGAATTACCTAAGTTCCTGACCTTCATTCACAGAAGGAAATGGCAACCCCCTCCAGTACTCTTGCCTGGAAAATTTCATGGACAGAGCCTGGTAGGCTACAGTCCATGGGGTCGCAAAGACTGAGCAACTTCACTGGTTCACTGAGCTTCATTTTGCATCATGTAGATGCAAGAATGATTTTAATTCTATAGGAAGTAGAGAATTATCAAAAAGGCTTAATAAATCTATTTGTAGATCAAACATTGTCTATAAACAAAATACAGACTATCTGCCTGTTTGTGTACTCAGTTCAGTTCAGTTGTCACGTCCGACTCTTTGCAACCCCAGGGTCTGCAGCACGCCAGGCTTTCCTGCCCATCACCAACTCCTGAAGCCGGCTCAAACTCATGTCTTTCTAGTACTTGCTAGTGTACTAGCTTTCTTGAAATGTCTATAGATTCTGCTGTAATGATAAGATATATATATATGAACTTCTTTGTTACTATGCATGCTCAAATCTTTGAAGAATACAAGTACTATTATGTGGAGATGAACCAACATTTTTGGCTATGAAGGTAATTCTCCAGTTTGAAAAAGCTGGGAACTACTGCTGAAGACCTCACTCAAGGAACTTATTTTTGGCATAAGTGAATGAAGACTGAAGCCGAGGCCACTGGTTTGAAGACTGAAGCCGAGGCCACTGGTTACTAAGAGAGCGCCAAACAAGGAGGTCAGCAGAACCAAAAGCCAAGATACAAATTTGTTGTTGTTTAGTCACTAAGTTGGGTCCAGCTCTTTTGTGATCCCATGGACTGTTGCCTGCCGGGCTCCTCTGTCTATGGGATTTCCCAGGGAAGAAGAGTGGAGTGGCTTTCCATCGCCTTTTCCAGGAGATCTCATTGAACCCACATCTCCTGCATTGGCAGGTGGATTCTTTACCACTGAGCACCAGAGAAGCCCTAAGACACAAATTCAGCCCACCAAAATCTAGGCACTCTTCTTTCTCTTAGTTTTATTTTAGGCATGCTAAAACAAGAAGTGTGCCACACCTTCTGAACTGATCCATCATTAAGTCAGAAGGCAGGTATTTATAAACTCAGAATTTTGCAAGGAGTCATAAGCTTGCTTAGCTGAGTTCAAATTTTTTAAAAAGATTTTGAGTTAAGCACCCATCTTGTCTGAAACAAAGCACCCATCTTGTCTGAAACATAATGTCATACACACACACACACACACACACACACACACACACACACACACATATGGTGGATACAAAGTTTTGATAACATTATAAAAAATTCCACAGCCTTAACTTCTGTTTATATATACTGACAAAAGGAAGTAAAAATCTTCCTTATTTCCATCTGCAAAAGGAACTATTGATATTTTGCTTTAGATTATTTTTATTATAATAAACACTTATTTCAGTAGGTATCAAACTGAAAACCACCACTTACAATCACTTTAAAGTTAACACTACTTAAAACTCTCACTTGACTTTACTATAGCAACAAAACACCAAAGAACAAGAATAGTGTATCTTTACAAGCAGGAACAAAGGATTTCTGAACCTGATTCTTCTTTAATACAAAGCGTTTAATATTGAAGAGTTTAAAAGTAGCAAAATGGTGTAATGATTAGGCTGGGAACATGCACTAAATCCTGGTGAATTATTAAATGAAAACCCAAAAGCCTCCTTTCAGAATCAACTTGGGTTGTTATTGTTAACCTATTGCTAAACCAAATAATAATGTTGCTGAAGAGGCTGCTTATGATTGCTTCTCAGCTATGACTACATGGACTCTAAAGAATGATGGAGACCCCTTGAAAGCAGGGCTTTTAAGCACTGAAAGCGAACTTGTCTTTTTCAGTGCAATTTTTGTTCAAGCTTTTCCGGGGTGGAAAAAGAAGTTCCCCCAAACAGTGTCCTTAAAAAGAACACACTAATGCTAAAAGGCATAAAGTCTGGTGTGTTGGGTTTTGTGTGGATTTTTTTGCCATTTAAAATCATCAATAACTTTAATTCTTCAAATCGTTCTTTTTTTGTTGCTGTTTTGCATTTGTTTTTTGAAGAATGCTAAAGAACATTTTAATACAGTTTCCCCTTTGATTTGGAGTCAAAATAAGCTTTTGCCATGGTGAAAGGGTTAGCACTTTCAGTTACTAGTGGCTATGAAAGATGAGTTTCTTGAAGATCAGAGGCAGGATTCTGGCCCTTCAGCTTCAACAAATCACCATCAGCAAATCCTAAATCCATCATCTCTCTTTCCAAAGAGCTTTATCTGCAATGACTTGTAAATTAAGATAGTTTTAGTTATTTTTTTCTTTTTTGGCTCTGGACTAATAATACCTCTACCAGAATAAAGGCAGTTAGGGCAGAACAGTGAACCTAGTTTCTTTCTTAACCTAACAATAAAAATAGATCAGTAACATTTTGCTTTTTAGTGTCCCTGGATTTAGAAGAAAAGGATTTGTGAGTTTACGATCCCTCTTTTATCACCTCTGAAACGACTGTTCCCTCTAAGCTTATGGACTGGCATTCTACCATAGCTGTCTTCTGTCAGCTGTACCTTTATCATTACAACAAGGCGAAGAACAATGACTTTCTGATCTGTCACCCTATTTTAGAATTTCTGTGTTTTGTCTGCAGGAAGATGGTAAAAGCCACAGCCTACGAGCCGATTTTATTTTGTTGTGTGCAGACAATAGCTTTCCCTGTCCTTCTGGCCGTCAAGTGCAAGGGCTGCATTCTCCTCTCTCCAGGTGTAACGTCAAGACTCCAGATGCTTAACCTGTGACCTCTTTTTAAAAAAAGTATGCAAAAACGCTTGCAATGTTTTTCTCAGGAGTCGCTTCAACTGCACCTTCAGGTGGGTCTGAGGCCCACCGTTTCAGGGGCAGTACAAATATTTTCAGCGATTTGGAGGTGAGGGCTCAGATATCAAGAAGAAAACAGTTAACTGCCCTGAACTTCCGACCGATCCTCGATTTTCCGGCGTCAAGCAGAGCAAATCTGGGAGTCAGAAGACCGGCAGGGGTCGGCGGAGCAGCGGACCTCAGGGTTCCGGCACGCCTCGCGCCTCCCGCCCGCAACCGTCCGCTGCTCGTAGACCGTACGTCTGACCCTCACGCCCACTTAGCCCGTCCACCGGCCGGGCAGCCGGCCACCCACCACACTGGCAGCGGAGGCCACCACCTCCTCACCCCAGCTCGCCGAATGCACGCCCAGAAGCGTTTCGAAAAGAGGAGAGGGCGGGACCTTCGGCCGCACCCCTTGGCCTTTTCCCGCCTTCTTTGTTTCCTTCGGAGTCTCCATTGGCCGCCTGGCTCTGATACTGGCGAACCGCGGGCCTGCGGCGGGACGCGATTGGGCGACGTCGCCGCCGCTCGGCCTGCGGCCTGCTCGCGATTGGCTGAGGCGCCGCCGGGGGTTTGAATCGCAGCCCCGGTCGGGGAGGGTTCTGCCAAAGTGCCACGTTGGGCCCGGCTGCGGCGTGAGCAGCCGGCTCAGAGAGCCGACTCGGGCGCTCGCGTCCGTGCGCCGGCCGTTGGGGCGGTTGGGCGGCGCGAGGGAAGCCGGTCCGCGGCGTGCGCTGCGGAGGCTGAGGGCGGAGGGGCCGGCGGAGAGCCTGGGGCAGCGGCTGAGGCGGGCCGGCGGCGGCGGGGGCCAGTGCCCCCGGAAGAGCCGTCCAAGATGCTGGCAGAAAACCTGGTGGAGGAGTTTGAGATGAAAGAGGACGAGCCGTGGTACGACCACCAGGACCTCCAGCAAGGTGAGGGTGCCACCTTTCGCCAGGCGGGGCCTGGCCAGGGCAGGGTGGCTGCCGGCTCGAGGCTTCACCTCCTGGCCGCGAAAGTGTTAAAAAGTTGATTTTGCTTGGGGCCCACCGACGCCAGGATCTGGGAAGATCTGGCGCTCACCTGGCGTTGGGACTGTCGCGTCTGCTGGTCCCGCGCGGGAGGACTCCGCTGCGCGGGCCCGGGCTCCTGCGCGGTCATCAGCATCCCCCATCGTCCCCGCCACTACTGCGTGTCCGGAGCTGACCGGGCGCCAAGCACCGTTTGGAGCTCTCTCCGGAGATTAACTGATTTAATCCCCACGGCGTTCCTCGGAGCGGAGAAGGGTGGCCCCTTACCGGGCTGCCCGCGTCGGGGAGGAACCACCGCCGGTGCTCCCAGCCGGCGAGTGTGAGCTGCTGCAGGTGGTGGGCCGGGGGTAGCAGTGCCGTGTGGCTGGAATCGCGCACACATTTGATCCGCACAGTAACTCCGTTGAGAGAGTAAACTCATATTGTTCCACTTTTCCAAATGGGTAACGCGGATGCTACAGCGGCCAAGTGACTTCCCACCAATGTGGGACCAAGTCTTTTTTTTTGGGGGCTTTTTTTTTTTTTGACTGATTTTTATTGGAGTATAGTTGATTTACAATACTGTGTTAGTTTCTGCCGTAGGGCAAAGTATTTTTGAACCCGCACACTCAGAATGAGGAGTCGTCCTAGTCACTGCTCAAACCCCTATCTCTTCTTCGCCACCTGGTTTACAGCTTTTTCAGTTGGTCTTAGACGGGATGAGAAGGGGAGCTACTTAGGCGTTATTTACCAGATGCCAAGTGAATGTCCTTCGCTTTGCCCCCTAGCTTTTTAACAACCGGCATTCATTCCTATCTTGGCCTGTCGTGGATTTCCTGTCTCCTGAGAAATTTTTTTCAGGCATCTTCTCTTTCAGCAATTCTGTGTAAATCAACTTTTTCAGCTCTCAACTGGCATAAAAAATTAACATCTCATTTAGTTGAATATTAAATGACCGTGATGTTTGTTCATGCTAACCATTGAACTTAGGGGGCAAAAGAATGTAGGCTTAAAAGACTCAGAAAAGAAACATAAGGAACTCTTTAGGGGGAAGGTGATTTCTTAAATCAATATGTTGTGGCCTGTGGCTTAAATCAGAGTTTATATAGTCTTTATATAAGTCAAAGTTTATGTAAGTAATTATGCTTACATAGTCTCTAACCTATTCAGTGGCTGCAGCGCAGTATTTGCCGTCATATTCACAACATCCACAAGGCAGATTTGTCTTACGTTTTAACCTATTTTCAGAATGCCCCAGAAGGATTGATGGCCTAGTTTGATACTTTCTCCAGAATTTATGAGGCAACTATTTTGCAATTACAACCTTTCTCTATAAAGAAATGAAGCAGTTTGCCCTGTAATCAAAACTAAATATTTTTCTTTACTGTATTTAGAAAGTGTAGCTCTGTACAGGTTTTTTTTTTTTTTTTTAAAATCTAGCACACTACTTAGCACATAATAGAAACTCAATTTTAACAATTGTTTACCTAAACTAAGGCACTCACACAGGATTATTGTTTTCACGACTGTCTTCTACCAGGCATGTTAGTCTACACTGCACTTTCCCCCTGTGGGAGGTTGTTAGGAACAACCACTTGTAATATTTCAACTTACTGAGGAGCAAATGCAACATGTTGAGGTTAGACGTGGGACTCTGTAACCTCTGATTGAAATCAAGTCATCAGGTGTGCAAATTTAATGAAATCTTGAAGTGCACAGGTCCAAACTTCCTAGTGCCAGTTTCCATTTGGAATTTGGTCTGTTCTTTTCAGAGGACTTTTACATCTTTTATCACAGTGGACTTTGACATAATCCTGTGTGTCATAACCAAGTGTGTGGGGTAGGAATACATGTGAAATCCCAACAGTCACAACTGTGAATTTGGCCTGTGAAAGAATGAAGGCTACAGTGTGAATAGAAGGGTCTCTTTGTCCCACTTTCATTACCTTATGTGTTAACTCCTAAACTTCTAATGGATCTTTTGTGAATTTTTCAAAAATTGTGTTTATTCTGTGCGAGGAAATTGTGTTCATTGAGGCCCTAGGACTGCAGCGCCTGTCCACAGTACAGACAGGATCCTACATATTTACTAGGAACCTGTTGACTAGAGATGCTGCCTCCTGGTGTGCCCACTACAGTGCTTGGCAGTGGGTAGGCCCTCACTAGATAATTTTGCTGCTGAGTAAGGTTTGGGAGCAAGTCTGTCCTCTTAGGCTGATAAGCAGATCTGGTGGGATTTTATCAAGTGCAGACACATGTCTGTTCATTTTTTAACATCCTCACTATTAATTTTACTGAGAGCCTTATTTGTAGAGAGTTGCTGAAACAGTTTTCTAAGATCCTGTTCTCAATCATAGAACTACAGTTTTTTTTTCTTTTCTTTAGCAATAGAAGCATTACTTAAGTAGGTTGAATCTCTTTACCAAAGTTTGCTTGGGGCATTCTTTGTAAAAATTAAAATTGTTGAAAGTTTCTAACCTCAGAAGGCTGTGGCCTACCATTCATACCTTTTTAGAAACATGTGAAACTGCAGGCAGAAGAAGAAAACCCGTTGCTTTTATAAAACACTTTGAAGAGAACGTCTTTTGTCAGAGGGCTGAGTTGACAAAGTAAGAATACTGACTGTAATCTCTGTGAGTAAGATCCTTTCTGGGACAGCAGGAGCCTTCTCTGTAGGTAATGATGGTGCTTGCTTTGAAATGTGCCCCTGAGAACGGGTGGAAAGACTTCAGAGACTGGGTTTTCATTTAGACCAGCTGCTGTTGTAATTGTCGTTTGGCGAGCTGTGCGAACTTAGAATAAGGATTTGGGTTTCTACTATGTGGTTCAGCAAATGAAATTTTAGTTTCAATTAAGATTTCTGCTTTTTTAGATGAGTACATTTTCCATCTGAGCAACGAATTTGCTGAATCACTGTTCAAAGGGTCATTAAAACTGACACCATCATTTTTCTTGATGTTTATATTCAGGTCTTTTGCTTTCCCAATTATAGTAACATCGGCAACAAGAGTTACACAGAAGCATCACCAGATGACACGTTTGGTTTTGTAATAGGAAAAACTTTCAGCTTTAATGTTATTGAATGAATACTAGAGACTACAGCTAACATGGGAATATGTCATCCTCTTTTCAGAAAAAAACTGAAGAAAAATGTAATAGCAGTGGAATTTAAAGATTTCAGAATTCTGGAAGGAAGATCTTTTAAAAAAATCACCTGACTACTAGAGTTAATTTTACCTAGGGCATAGGGCTGAGTAGACTATCTGTTTAAAGCTAATAGTTTATATTGTTAAAATAGATTATTATCACTTGCAAAGACTGATTAGTGGAAGAATACTAAACATGAAGGTACTGAAAGTTGCAGTTCTCAAGCCTGCAATAAATCTGTGGTATTTTTAGTGGTTGCCTACGCCAGTTCAATAGGATTTAGAAAAGACAAGCTCTTAATTAAAATCCTTGTGTAAAGTGAGATGAACAGGTGTATAAGGCTTCAAACCTATACTGTTTCCTTTTCTTTTGTGTGTTAAGTAAGAATAAAGGACATTGAATATTCTCCCATTCCCTCCACAAATTATTTAGAAAACCTTCTTGGGCTTACTGCCAGCTTTTGGCTCTTTTTGGTAATGGAAGCCAGATGCTACACAACAGGAAATAAACTTTTTTTTTTTTAAAGACCAAAAAGACTTTTGTCTTTAAACTAACAGATGAAGTAATATCCTATTATACAGTGTGACTTCACAGACACTTTCTTGTAGCTGAGACTTGTTTTGCCAGAATTCTATCCTACACATCCTATGAAATATTTAGGAGACTAAGACTTCAGGTTACTGAGCCAGGCTGGGGTTTTGTTTAACTCAAAATAAGGATTGCGATAAGGACAAGTCTCAAATTCTTCTCTGTTTGATATTTACTGCAAGAGTGCTATACTTGGCATCTCTTCTGTGGCAACAGGAAAGGTGCTCCTGGCTGATATTTAGTAACATAGGTAGTTTCCTAACTGAAGGAAATAGCTGTAGATGGTCTCAAATTAGTCTTGCTTCTGGAAGAGGTTTTGGCTTAGGTTTTGATTGCTGGGTAAGAATATCTTTGATGAGTCTCTGGTCTTTTCTAGTGAGGAATTACTCACTTCTTTATAGCAGGCCAGGAGAGACTTAAGTAATGTCTAGGTAATGTTTGCTTTGTCCTTAATAATTCAGCGTGGTGGTTCCTTTGTGGGGCTGTGTATACACATTACACACCCTATGAGTGTAAAATAATTATTTCTGGAAATCTCAGCTGTACGTAGTTCCTTTTTAATCTAGTGAAAACAAGATAGCAACTTGCCTGGGGTTGTATATGCTTTCCCTGGCGGCGCAGGCAGTAAAAGCCGAAGAGTTCAACTCGAGTTTCTCATTGTCACCTAGGAAAACAAGTAAAAAGATGGAAGTACTCTGTACCTTAAACAAAGAAGTATGTGGACATCTCTGTGTGTGGATATGGATAATAGAGAATTCTTTTGAGGGTGAAAGTTAGAATCTGTTGACAGTGGTTTCTCTTGCTTATTATGACTCACCACATGGAATTGGTCAGATCACTTCTTAGCATCTTTGTGCTTCTCATTTGAAAATCTGGGTTAACTACCTTGAAAAGGTATAAAAAATTAATGTCAAATGTTTGCAGTGCTGAACAGTTTGTAAAGGGTTTCGATGTCTTCTGAATATAAGATGTTATTTCATAGACTTGGTATATGAAATCTTAAGTACATGAATAGATATTGTTAATATTTAAATCACAAGAGAATGTATTTTAACACCAATCTACCAACAGTATACTGTTTTATTTTAAATGGGTGTAAAATGTTTTAAAGTGAGCTGGAGTGGTGTTTCGTGGGTTTTGCTGCTTTGTTTTTTGGCTTGTGAAGGAAAACTAACCAACCACAATGTTAATAATGCCCTCAAATGGCCAGGTAACAAAAGTTGCTTTTCAGTTACCATTTATTCTAGGTTAAGTTCTAATATTGGTTTAATGAATTAAATGTTAAACCTTGTTTGTCAACCTCTAAAAATTGTTTTAAAATTGTATGTGGTGAGGTTCCCTCTTTTGATAATAAGTGTGATAAGTATATTTTTCAACACTGAGTGAAATGACTTTCCAACATACTTAGAATAAAATCTAAACTTTCCACCATGGCTGATGATACTTTCTGTCACCTGAACCGTACCTGCTCCTCCAGCTCCCACACCACTCTCCCCAGTGAGCTGCTGTCACACTGGCTTCATGTTGGGCTGCTGTTGTTCAGCCACTTGGTCGTGTCCAACTCTTTGCAACCCCATGGACTGCAGCGTGCCAGGCCTCCCTGTCCATCACCAACTCCCGAAGCTGGCTCAAACTCATGTCTATTGTGTCGGTGATGCCATCCAACCATCTCATCCTCTGTCATCCCCTTCTCCTCCCACCTTCAATCTTTCCCAACATCAGGGTCTTTTCAAATGAGTCAGTTCTTCGCATCAGGTGGCCCAAGTATTAGAGTTTCAGCTTCAGCACCAGTCCTTCTATTGAATATTCAGGACTAGTTTCCTTTAGAATGAACTGGCTGGATCTCCTTGCAGTCCAAGGGACTCTCAAGAGTCTTCTCCAACACCATAGTTCAAAACCATCAATTCTTTGGTGCTCAGCTTTCTTTATAGCCCAACTCTCACATGCATACATGACTACTGGAAAAACCATAGCTTTGACTAGACGGACCTTTGTTGACAAAGTAATGTCTCTGCTTTTTAATATGCTGCCTATGTTAGCCATAGTTTTTCTTCCAAGGAGCAAGTGTCTTTTAATTTCATGGCTTTTAATTTCACCATCT